TATCTGACCCAGAACCCTTCAAAACTGTCATGCAAGGGAGACCCCACTCCACCCCCAAAATGGAGAAGAGCTCCGCTAGACGAACCTTTCATAGTAGGCATTTTTCTTGCTAGGCGAGCATCAAGCAATTCCCTCTGAGCTAGTGCACCCAGTTTTGTCGCCTGGGAAGGTTCTCTCTGGTAATAGTGAATTTTTTCATAAAAGCAGTATCACTCGAACCTCATTTTTTTGTGATGGCCAATTTAAGAGAACAGTGTGCTGCTGTGAAATTTTGTTTCCTGCTCAGGAAAAATGCCACAAACTTGTGATACTGATGAACACAGCTGACAAGGACAGCACTGGGGAAGCGCGAGTGCAAGAGTAGTTTTCTTGGTTTCAAAAAGGTGAAATGTCGATTGATGACAGACCTCATTCTGGACATCCGTCAACTTCCCGTCAACGAAAATGTCAACAAAATTCATGCACTTATTATCGAAGACCAGTGAGGGACCATTGAGGAGATGGGGAAGTTATCTGGACTATCTTGGAGCTCAGTTCAGCGAATTTTAACAGAAGATTTGGGAATGACAAGGTTCACTACAAAAATGGTGCCTCAGATTCTGACTGACCAGGAAAAAAAGTGTGGAAACATTACATGCTCTGAAAGAACAGCACCGAAGGACCCTAGACTTATTTTCCACGGTGTTGACTGATGACACAGTACTAGTCTTATGACCTCAAAAGCAAACATCAGTCAAGCCAGTGGGAGTCATTCATCACCTCGCCCCAAAATAAGCTCCGTCCAGTGAAATCAAAGATCAAGATGATGCTCAGTGTTTTTTTGTTGTGCATTTAGGGTTCAGTCCAAGTAAGACTGTTAAGCTTTCTATTTCGAGCTTGTGAAAAGATTGGTAACTGCGACAAACAAGGCTGATTTGTGGCAGATGGGACTGGTTTTGCCACCACACAATGCACTTGCTCATGCAGCCATCTCAGTGCGCCAGTTTTTAGCAAAAGCCAGCATGCCTCCCTTTTCCCAAGCACCTTGCTCACCTGACCTCGCTCTATGTGACTTTTTTGTGTTTCCACCAATGAAGAGGGACATTAAAGGACAGTGAATTAATGACCTAGAAGAGGTGAAGCAAAAAACAAGGGAGGTGCCATCAGCCATCCAAACAGATGAGTTTAAAAAATGTTTCCAAGA